TTTTTTTCTCCAATCAATACAGATACAGATTAAAGGACTGACAAAATTATAAATATTTTAAGCTAATATGTAATTTTCTTATTTTTTCATATTTAAAATAAATTCCTTTTTTTTAAAAATTGACTACTTTCTACTTCGACTATACAATCTAATTTAACTGAACATTTATATACAATGTTGTAATTAAAAAAATGTGATGTGTAAGGCAATAATTAAATACACTGTGATAATATTCAGTTTCTATATACTAGAGTTTTTTTTTTTTTTAATTAGTGACTGCTCTACTGGGGAAGAAATGCATGTGTCCCCAGAATAACATCAGATGACCTGACGAGTACTAATCTTAAGCTCATAGGAACAAAAACAGAAAACTAAGCATTTTGCTCAACTCACTGCACCGTCAGAGTTTTCACACTTTCTGTTTCTAAATAACGAAATGCATAAAAAAAAGATGAGTGGGCGGTGAAATAAAGAGGGGCCGGGGTCGGAGACTGGAATGTTTGGTCCACAGAATTCTGCAAAGGGTGTCTCCCTGTCAGCTCTCTCTCTCTCTCTCTCTCTCTCTCTCTCTCTGGTGTCCAATGTGTAAAGCAGCGACCATCTGGCCAGCTGGAATGCTACTGAGCAGGAGGGGGTGGATGGGTAAAGGGTGGTGCCCTATCAAGGAGGGGGAAGGGTTATGTCTGTAGTGAGGAGTGATTTGACTTCAGCAGAGATGGACTGGATTCAAATGTGTTATTTTATTTTGACAGCCACACTAAGGCTTCAGTGATGGAAGGGTTAAGGTCAGTCTGCAGCGAACGCCAGTGACCGATGATCACTGGCCAAATATATGATAGATACTTCCTTTAATTTAGCAATCAATTTTCTATTTAGGGGTAAGATGAACTATATCACACCAAGAGATGAACTGAACACAGTACTACAATACATTTCAGTTACCCTGCAAAATGACAACACTGTTTTGATCATATAAATGCATTTTTAAGTGCGATTCAACATGCAAATGCTAATGCTAACGGTGTGTCCTCCACCGTGTAAGACACCCTTAGGTTTGTGACTTATTGATTAACTCACCCAGATAAGTAACGCATCGTACTGCTAGTCTAGTGGAAATAAGGAGCATTGAGTTCACATTAATGTCAATGCCAATATTCATTAAGAGTTAATAAAGACTGTCATGATTATATACAATGTCAATGCCAATATTCATTAAGAGTCAATAAAGACAAAGTCACGATTATATAAAGTCATTTCCAAACCCAATACAATTAGATCAAGAAAAAGTTGAAACAAATCTTTTTAAAAGCATAACTAAACATCAGAGAAGTTTCAATATGACATATTTAGGGCAGTCTCATCTTTTTATAGGGATTAGGTGAATTTTTGTATATATATATTTTCATTTTCTCAGTGGAGGACTGAGCTGCTATAAATAGTCAGACTTTCCTTTACACTCATGGGTCTCAGGGTTTGTCTCGCATTGCACATATGCATACCTAATCTGAGATTTTGTTCCAGTTACACCACTTTCCTGCCTGGAGTTTACCACAATATGACCCTGTGCTGTATTAATTTATGAATTTGAATGACACAAGTATTGGTCGACATTAAATCAACACAAACCGCCGACTGGACTGGAAAGTGCTGTGCTACAGGGATCATGTTCAGCCTGCGCAAATAAAACCTCCCACATTTTCTTCTTTTTTTCGCCTTGTACTTAATTGACTATGGTGTCAGAGGTAATTGAGCCCTGGCAAGAGCTAATGCAAAGTGAAACATCATATGGAGACAGGCCTCGGCTGCAGATTTCCATGGAAACTATGAAAGTGAGGGGAATATTACACTAGTTATAAACCCTATGTTTGCTGACTAAATACAGTTAGGATCCAAGTGTCTGGAAGAGGTCCACCCTAACTGCTATCCAAGTTTTTATATAGTTTTGAGTGGAGATTAGCTTGAGGGTAACCCATAACACCCCACCCTGTAGAGTTCCCACTGCTGTTCTTCTTTTAAATATTTGTGCTAAAAAAGGGCTTGGCTATGCAGTTGCCATTGACCACCGGTAAGAAGGAAAAAGAAGTTGCCTCAGAAAGTCACATTTGCCTGCTGGAGAAATGAAGTGGAAAGAATGGAGGATGTTGCAAAAAAAGAAAAAACATATATATGTATATATATACATATATACATATATATGTATATTTATGTATTGTATGTATATATATACATATACACATATATATACCTCAAAAAATTAACAGAATATATACTGTTTCTAAATATATTATATATGTGTATGGTGACTTAAGTGACTAAGACGCATTAAGCGGAAAAAAAAAAACAGTCAGCAAAACAATTAAGCGGAACAACCAAGCACGCCTGGATCCCTCTCGTTAATATCCGAGTCAGTCTCGGTGCTGTTGATTAGCTGTTCAGTGATGGTTCCGGCCTTCGTGAAAGCTCGGACGACATTTAAGACTGATACTTTAGCTAAGGCATCCAGCATCAGGTAACAACGCCTTGTTACTACCAATATTTAGCTGCTGGAATTCTTTGGTTAATCCACCCGGAATGATGGCAAGCCCCGAATTATTTTGCTTTACTTGGGTTTTGACAATATCGGTGAGATGGGTACGCATGGAGTCGCAGATCAATAAGGTCAGAGATTTGTGGACACTGGAGGGCGCTATTGTTGTCTTTCGCCCCTCCAGAGTCAGGCGGTTGTCACTGTTTTTGTTCTGGATGGTCACCATATTGTTGTTTTGACGCTGTTTCGTGCGGAAGTGCGGATGTTGTTTTGCAGAGAGAGTGTGTTTTGCCTGCATCGATAAAAAAAAAAAAAAAAAAAAGAGTTCTTGACCACGGAAAAAAAATTGATAGCCATGTGTCTGAGTCGTCCGGCATCGCACCATACTTCGACAATACAAAAACACACTACGCAGTCTCTGGGTGTTGGGAGGCACGACACGACATTGTTTTGAAAAAATTAAAGGATTTTAAGTGCGCCTTATAGTCCGAAAAAAATATGGTAAATTATTTGATGGCTCCAAATGTGAGGACACACATTAAGAATCTCAGACCACTGTCATTTAACTGTGCCAGTGCCTTAAAGTTTTGAGGTCACAGCACTTTGACCAGTGTTTTTCAACCTAGGGGTTGTGACCCCATTTGGTGTCATTTGGAATTCAATGGGGTCGCCTATTAACTGAGAAAAAAAAATACACAATCAGACAACTGTACTCTCTCGCCTTTACGAATATAACATTATATAAAAATATAAGTCAATTTTGATTGACAGCTGTGATCCTGTGACTGCACAAGTGACAGCTTCTACTAGCTACTCGGTGATGCCAAAACGGGGTCACAAGCCAACACCCACTGCCTTAGCCTTTGACAACTCCTTCCCTCCTTCTTCTACGAAAGAAACACACCAGTGTGAGTCAGCACCTAAATATAAAATGAAAACTTAATTTTCACTGTTCTAGACTTCTGAACCCAGATGATTCTTTCATGTTTGTTTTCTTTCTTACTTTCGATTAAGACCTGTCATTTGTGCATTTTAAAAATCACTTAAATCACAGCTGTAATGGCTCTGACAGCACCACACCAACATGACGTCTGCACCCACAATGATGTCATAAGGATCAAGCAATCACGTAAACCACTGCTCGTGTTGGTGCAGTTCTACCAACATACACGGTAAAAGTAGAAAAAAAGTAGATTTATGTAAAAAAAAATCTTTTTTTTTTAAACAAAGACATTACAAAACAGTTTCTTGTCATGATTACCTGCTGATACAGTACATTTATTCCATCCTGTGCAAATCAAATGTACTTGGTAATTCAAAATATTTACCTTCTGAACTGAATATTAAAAAAAACTTCAGCAATGACACTCATTCTGTAACACTAGATTTTGTGAATTGGCAGCCACTACAATAACAAAAAACAAATACATTTACCAAGTCACCAAGAACTAGTGTCCACACCCCTGACTTTTCGTAATACTGAACCTGTGTGTTAATGATTTACCTCAAAATGTAATCCTTCCGAGACTAAGTTCTAATTGCATCGAACGATTCCACTGCAGAAAATGGCCAAATATCACCAAGAGGTTGTGAACATTACACAATCACAATCACCAACATGCACAGTCCTGAAATTTGTACAATGACTACACACAATCCCCACCCCCCCACCCCCCCCCCCCCCCCACCCCCCAATTACACAATACCAACAGGCTGAGGGAGGTCTTAGCCTGTTGTATCACAGACCTTTGCAATGGGAAAATTACAGGATGGCAAACCTCATACGTTACAAATTGCCACACTTATATAAAATGTCTCCTATTTAATTAAAAAAATAAAATAAAAATAAGCACATAATGTAGCACAAATTGAAAACAAACAGTGTGTGCAGGCAATGATGTTTCGCACATAATGTAGCACAAATTGAAAACAAACACAAAGTGTGTGCAGGCAATGATGTTTAGGCAACACTGCATTTCAACTATTTCCTAAACAGAAACACCAGCGTTTTTTACATGCTGGTAGCAGTGTTAAGGACAAGACTGATGAGGAAATGGACAGTTTGAGAAAAACAAACAAACAAACAAAAAAAACAGAACACTGCAGGATGAAGAAATAAACCCAGTTTATTTCTTCTGTGTACTCGCAACTTACGAGTACACAGTGCAGTGGTGTGTGTGTATTTGAATAACCACGGTAGGATGACATATTTAAACATGACTTTGATTGCGCACCATTCCGGGCCAAGTTAAATAAACTAGTCAGGAGTGACATGACTGTTGCTGTTGTCTTTTTCCAAAGCATAGTTAAGAGTTTGTTTTAATGCAGACATTTGGTCTCTCAAGTTCCCAGAATAATGTAATACCTAAACACAATCTTTAAGCCACAATTGCCAGCTTCCATCAGTTTAACCAGGAACTGGAAATAGCCAACCAATAAAATGGAAATGGAAATAAAGGAAACTCAAACTCACCAATATACCGCCTCTGAAAACATGTTTTAGTTGAATATGTTCCTCCTACAGAAGGTAAATGAAGTTATATTTATGAATTGAGTTTGGTTTCCGCAGCTTGTTGCTACTTTTTTTTTTCTTGGAGAACCTCCCTGTCCATCCAGAGGTCCTGCCACTGTTTACTAACAACTCTGGATTTGAGTCAGTCTAGTGGAAAGAGTTCAAGCACTCAGTCTGCCAGAGCACTGGATGAAAGAGTAAAAGCAATTGACTCGTGAAAAAAAAATAAAAGAAAAAGTGGTGGAATACTTTTTTTAAAATATTTTTTTCTTTAAACCAAGAATGAAGCAGAGTTCTTAGATGCTAAATTTACCAGGACTTGCATTCAAAGGTAAAACATGTTCCGGTGTTTGCTCATAAACCCCAACCCTATTAAAAGGTTAAATTAGTTATAGGAAACAACACAGACATCGTGTCGACCAAAAACCACACACAACATCCTTATCTGTAACATGTTTGGATTGACAACGAGTATTTCCTGAATCGCCTTTAACATACAGTATGTGTCGTGTGTCACAGGAAGCTCAAAGTGTCTGGTTAAAGCCTGCGAAACACGCGATATTATCCGTTACTGCTCAAATCAAACGTACAGTGTGACATTACATACCTGGCAACCCTTACCGGAAGTCTGCTGGACGAAGAATGCGGTGACAATCGGATTTGAGTCCTCTGTGAGCTCACAGCTGTTTAAACACCGCCGTTTCAACCAATTTGTTTTGTAAGTTTCCTGCAATGGTACTGAGAACCTGAGCACGCAGTGTAGAGGGTCAGTGAACGCCCCACAGGCAAGAGAGTTAGTCTTCGACAAAATAAAAAGACGCAGAAAACACGGAAGAACTGACTCTCGCTTAAGTCAGGAAACAGCTATGTTTTCTTTACATATCCTCCACTGAGGCAAACTTAAACACAAGACTGTTCCAAACTCAGGAGAGCTCGCAGAAGTGGCGAAATCCTCCGCTGCTGCTGCCGCGGCACTCAAGTCTCTTCAAACTTAAAACGCTCCCTCGCTTCTGATTGGTCCAAACCTGCAACGTTGCGTTCACGTGTTTCGTCTATACGCCTTTCTCCCAAATATGAAAAGATGTCAACTTCTTTTGAATTTACTTATTGTATAACTGTTGTTCATTGTCAGGCGTTTGTTTTTGTGCAACAACCTCTCAAGCTACTGCTTTTAATTGAAGGTATAATATTAAATACACCAGCTGTCATTACTGTGTTTAAACATACAATAAACGTTATACATATTTTTTTCTTTTATCGACATTTTTGTTAAATTGGTGTTTATTTCCCTTGTCTAAAAGCACTATTTTCAATACTGTTAAGTTAATTTATGTCAGGGAAGTCGAAATAAAAACAAGCTACAGTGTGCTGCAAGTCATATATTAATAATTTCAAATATCCGTTTGTGGAAGAAAATCTTTTGACGTTACGATTCATGTACTGCAATTACAAATATCAGGGTTTACACAAAAGAAATATGATTAAGCCTACACAAGATGTATCCATTCAAATATAACTTTACTTAATTTGACAGTTAATACAATTTATTGTATCGTGTTGTTCCCGTGGACACCAAGATGCTATGTTTTCTGCAGAGCTAAAAGTACTTTAAGATATGTATTAGTAATAGTCACAGTAATTGCAGTCACGTGTTGGTATACGTTTTATACTTTTCAAGTTTGAAAGAATAGCAAAAGTACAGCAAGATACGTGCGCTTTTGTTACGAACATCATAGTGTTATAGCGCCATTTACTGGCTACAGTTGGAAAATGCAGGAATAGTTATATACCGTATTTTATTATATTATTACCCTATAATACGCAAGATAACTTATTTCTATCATTTAATATTTTTGTCTTTCAAAGACTACTGTATGACGTTAGTGTATGCAGCAAGCTTAAATGAGTAATCTCTTTAAGTGTAGGAGATTTAACCGTATGATATCACTTTTTAGGCGATTTAAGCGTATCATATCACTTTTAATATTTATAAGGCAATGTTTTTTTTTCAAGGAGTACAGTAATTAAATTAAATAATCTTCTAAGGGGTAGAAATAGAAATAGAAATAGAACATAAAATAAATCAAACAGCCGTTGCATTTTGTTCAATCATTTATTTAATATATTATTTTGTACCATAATGTAGGCTTTAGCACCACCCTGTGGTTACACCGTTATCCTACAGAAATGTGTTTTGTAATGTATAATTATCAGGAGAGGTTACACCGTTATCCTACAGAAATGTGATTTGTAATGTATAATTATCAGGTGATTCATTTAGACATGAAAAAAAAAAAAAATTATCATATTTGCTTTCGCGGGGTTTACAGCTGGTCCCATAAAAGTTTCACCACTGACATGAATAAATATTCTATGAAAAAATAAAATAATTTTTTTTTTTCATTTTTGCTTTTGCGGGGTTTGCAGCTGGTCCCACTGATATGAATAAATATTCCTCCGGTCTGTCTTTTGTTTCTTCCCATCTGTCTGAATGTGACATCTGATTAGCTGGGCAGCACAATACCCACCTGTAAAATATAAAAGAAACCAAACATTTGAAACCATTTAATACATAGTGGGATTTTTTTTAATCTAAAATTGATGCTGTGTTTAAGTACAGTATGGTCTGCCTGGGTGTTTGTTTCTTCTTTATTGCGGGCACCATAAGATGCAGAAAACACCTTTTATGTGCTTTATAAATCAGTACGAAGCACATGAAGCAGTGCAGAACTACATATGTCTCAGTTCCTCTGAAACATGGCTGTAATCAAAATCCCAGCCCATTTCCATGTTCTGGATTTCTCTCCATCGTGGTTCCATTAAAGGCGTCGTCAGAATTGCTGTTATCGCCAGAATTTGTGTAGCCTGCAGTCAGTAGCATTACCTTCCCTTCTTCCTGTACATGTTTACATATGCAAACAGCTTTACAACACAGGCAGAGATGCTACTCCACCAAGCTACTACTACGTCTTAAATCATTGACCCCACACTGGGGAAATGAACATGTTACTGCATTCCAAGGACAGAGAATTATATTTATATTTATAGAAGTTTATAATGCATGGTAGATTAGACAAGAACATTAACAATGAAAATATCTATCTACATACTATACTATACTATACTACTACAGCAGGGGTGTCAAACATACGGCCCGGGGGTCAAAAACTGGCCGCTAAGATGTTTAATCCGGCCTGCTGACAAATATAAATAAACACGCAAGCACTTCATGTTCAGAATAGTCTTTGTAAAATTATTATTATTTCATTAAATACGAATAAATAATTATAAATATCTAATAAACCTGTACTTCTCTGCATAAAAACAAAGGGAAAAAACATGGCCGTATTGTAATTTATAATTTATTACAGTGTGATTGTACTGGTCTGGCCCACTTGACATCTACTCAGGTAGCATGCGGCCCCTGAACCAAAATGCATATGTAATATGAAATATAAAAATACTAGAGTAGATACATTTTTTATTGGCTAAAATTAAACACACCACCTACAAGTGTATTTGTACTGTATAATTAAATCATTGATTGATTTTGGACTATGAATTATGGTATTACAACACCATTGGTAGGTTCTATAGCATATGGCAAAATGACTCATTACTAAATATAACCAAATATTTACTGAGAGCATAAAAAGCTATTGGGGTCACAGACACTGTACCATAAATATCCCCAAAGTGTTGTTGTTTTTAAAATGAATTTATACTTTATAATTCTTCCCTCTACCTAGGCTTTGGATTGTGAACAACTATAAATCATGGAGAAGCAGTACCTTGTCAGGGCTTATGTCGGGACACTGCCAGTTGTAGAGGTAGTAATGAAGGCTTATTTCACTGTCACTGAACTTCAGTTTTGTCAGGAAAGTCGTGTTACCCATCACATTGAGGGCGGTGAAGACGTCAAAGCCTTTCTGTCAGTCAAAGGAAACACCGTATTTCAGTGACACTAACTCTTATTGACACACATTGATTAATACAGTACTTCTCAAATAGTGGGGCGGGCCCTCCTGGGGGGTCGTGGTGGGGGTCCAGGGGGGCGTGAGGGGCTTCCAATGGAATATGGCAATGTAGCACTGCTGTAATGCTTGCATGATAACAAGCTTCCAGCCACTAGGGGGCAGCAACTCATACAGTGGTTTGTACAGATAGAAATATACATGTTATCAGGTTTACTCAATAGTATTTAATAGTTCACAATAATTCTTGGGTGGGGTGTGCGAAAACATTTCTGTCCACAAGAGGGGGACATGACGTGAAAATAACTGAGAACCGCTGAGTCAGTGAGTGTAGTCTCAAGTCTTGTTACTCCATTATATGGCAACTTACATTGTTATGAGTTGAAGTAAGGTGTTAAGTATTAGCAATAACCTATATACCATCAATATTTAGTAAATCAAATATACACTGTACACACAAGGGAATAAAAAAATAAATGCATCAGAAAATAATGCTCTGTGACGACCTACAGTGTTACATGTGTTATACATTGGTTCCCAACCACTGGGTCGTAGCTCAGTAGTGGACCATGTATTTTTCGGTACAGGCCAAACAGATAGAATAAAACAGTCTATTTTGATTGGGTTTTTTAAAATTACATTAGTCCGTCTGGTATTTTATTTAGAAAAACAGACACATTCCACACCTCTCTTCAGCGATTGACTCAGTCCTTTCATGTCGCAAGTTGGAAAATGAAAGGCATAATATAAAATAAGAATATATTTATATATTTATATTGTCAAATATACATATAATGTAATTAAATTCCAAGTTACTTGAAGTTAATTACTACTAGAAATGTGGCATCAACACCTCAAATTCGCTATATATAAATATTTATAAATATATATATATATATATATATAAATATAAAAATATACATCCATCCATCATCGTCCGCTTATATATTATAATAATAATCACTCACAGCTCTGGCAAGAACCAGGGCGTCCTCGATGAGGTCAGTCGGCTCGGGGACAGATGACACTGCACACAGGAGATGGGCTGCTCTCAGGTCAGTGTGTATTGGGTGATTCAGCACCCTGAAGGCAGTACCGTAGAAGCTCACCATGTCCGTCACTTTGCCATCATCATCCTGTATGGGGGGGGGAGGGGGGGGTTG